CCCAATGGAGCTGTAGTCTAAACTCCTTAAAGGGGGATACTTGGAGCTTTTAACTTCAACCCTCAACCCTGTATATTATAGAGGTTATTAAGGGGTATACTAGGAGTTTAGACTATAGATCAAATGGCGGAGGAATTTGAAGATGCCGTACTGGGTTCACATTATGAAGGCGGAGAGACCTAGGTTTGGAAAGGGTTTAGGGTTTAGGGTTTAGGTGTTAGGGTTTAGGGTTTAGCCGGGGTGCTGAATTTTAGGGTTGAGGGTTTAGGGTTGGGGGAATGTGGTGCTCATATGAAATCCCTTCATGGTCAGCATCCCTGATATACCTACCCAAAATAAGAAAATGGGAATGTTCAGAACCGGAATGAAGTTTCTTGAAAATCGACTTGGAGGGATGAGGAAGGCGACCTGCAGTATATGTGAGCTAACCCTTACCCCTGATTAATAAACCCCCCACCCCTTAATAGGGATTATAGTAGGGATCCTATTTGATATTTAGGCCCTTAAAAGGAGGGGGTTTAGTAATCATGGGTTTAAACTTGTAGGCGGGAACCATTGCTGGGCACACTTTCCCATCCCCCCCCTAAATATTAGATGCTCCACATTGACGTATATTCTTATAATCATATATTGGGGAAATTAAATATAGGGGGGCGGGGCCTAGATCCTAGATTCCAAACCCTAAATAAACCTAAACCTTAGGGGAAGGGGTGGGCTCAATATTGGGGGAGGGGATTATGTTGATATCCGTAGAAGGCCTGAGGAGCCCTCGCTACAGTTCCATCCTGACAAGGAGCTTCCCCCAATGACCCTAATTCAAGTTACTATATTCTCTCCCTATAAAGGAGAATCAAATGGAAAAGAACATGGAACATGAAATAGAAACTGGGGGAATATAGGGATTTTTGGAACTTAATGTAAGTTACTATATTGGGGAAACCATATTAAGTCAATACTATCTATATACACATATATGTGTGTAGTATGTATATATGTGTATATATGCATGCCCATACGGTAACTTAATTTAAGTTCCTTAACAGAAACCACAAGAATCTGCCGGTACGTCGCCGCCGCCTTATTCTGAAGCCGCAAATGGCTACTTATAGGCCATAATCTTGACAAGTCCCGCTAGTTGTCCAGAATCTTTGAGGGCCCAGTCGCCCAATCAACAGCGCATCGGATGGAACCAGTCTCTCCTTTGATGGGTTTAGGGCTCAGGACTTCGTACCCCAAAATACTTGACACCGTACTTGGTCCATGGTTCAAAGAATAACCCACATATTTGTGTGTCTAAAGAGCGCTACCTCTCGAATTCAGAAGGAAATCCCTACAGTCCCTGTGTAAAAGCTATACCCCTAGGCGCCCGGAGCATGCCCCATATTCAGCAAACCGCGGCCTTCATCCCTAAACCTCGTCTGGTTTAGGGTCGCTTCTGCTTTGGACTCCCACTCTAAGGACTTTAGGAGGGACCCCTAATAGGGACCCTTAATCCCATTACCATATATAACCATTATATAGTCACTATATAACCCCTATATCCCTAGGTACTCCCCATATTAACCCCCATAAGCTACAAGGGTCCCTATCAAAGGTCCCTCCTAAAGTCCTTAGACCCACCCTTTCGGCTCAAGTCCGACCTGTTCTTTTCCAGAAAGTCTCAGGTGGTCCCCCCCGGTCTGGCAACAGGGTCATAATTGAAAAACATGTTTACCAGGACCCTCCTTGTACCCTTAATTAGGGGTATATGGTCCCNNGGGTATTTATGGGTAAATAGAGGGTAGCTGGAGGGTCTAGGTAGATATGCGCCCTGATATAGTGGATACCATTCTTCCTTGTGGTCGCCATTAGTGGGGGGATCACCGGCAGAAAGCCTCGACGCAACAGCGCGTAGGCTTTGGCTGAACAGTCTGCCGCGTTTAGATAGCAAAGATGCATGCCCGTGCAGAGTTACTTATCTGGGTTGCTGTTACCATAGTCAGGAAACCTTATTACTTACCGCGTATCCCTAGCATCGTAACTAAATATAGACTCCTTTACAGCCACACAATTACAGACCCGAATCGTTCTTGAACTGCGTTTGCGGGCTTGCTTGTTTTGTGGGGGTATCAGTTGCCTCTGCTCGTCTTCCAGGCGGTAGTAGCATGCCGGACGGACAGCCAACAGCTTTGCTTCAGCATGCCGCTGCTCGTCCTGTTTCATGGAGGCTCCGGGCGACTTAGTAAGCATATTTATCACCTCTAAAGACCACGTAGTAACCCCACTTATCCTGCTCTTAACCTACTTACCAAGCCCCCCTGACCTGCCAAAAAGAGAACCTTAAACTAACCCCAAAAACCTTACCTCCAAGTCCACGGGTGTGCTCAAGGATTCCTTCCTGTCTCAAGAGGGTTCAGGTGGGGTAGGGTTTAGGGGTACCTCCTTCAGCAACCCCTAAACCTTAATCCGAACCCTAAACCTAAACCGTGTGATTGCTGATAAGGACGGAATCCTGAGATCCCGATAGCTATGCCTGCTAAACGTTCAACCCCTCTTCTCTAAACTTGCTGGTTGTTAGCAGGACGTCGAGCAATGGATTCCAATGGTAGCCTGTGCACAATACCTGACGATTTCTAGCTGTTTTTCCTTTCCTGGTCCATTTCTTCATTCCCTGCTAACAACCAACAAGTGAACCCAACATCTGAACCTCCCTCCAGTATCCATACACAGGGGAACGTAATGTAAATCCGGTTTTACTATAGATTTCCTGGGGACCCCGACAGGGACGCCTAATTTTTTCAAGCTCAAAACCCGAAATCCCTATCGGACCCTCGCTACCCCCTTGAAAGGTAACCATTGGTAAGTTCTTAAGCCGCAAAAAGTCTGACTAGTTAGCACCCGAGGCTGCCCTACGAGCAGTTCAGATGCCAAGCTTCGCAAGCACTACGCCATTTTTTCAGATGTACGTCATATCCGTGGAGGACCTGGCTGTTCAATTTCACATGGGTTTACTTCATACTTGTTTGTAGGGGTTTTCTTGGGCTTTATCTCAAGTTATCTCAGCATCTAGAGGGTTTTTTAATTCTAGGAACATCAGATTGCAAAGACAATCAACAAAGGAAGTTGGGATGACACAGGGATTGCGCCTTTGGGGCGTCGGGAGGTGCACTTCGAAGCACAAATGTTGCCTAAATAGTCGTACTTACAAAATATGATGTTACCTGCTTATCACTTTGGCTTTCCTAGCCTTAAATCCTACGCCCTGAACTTCAAACTGTAAATCCTACACCCTGGATGTACCCTGGTGGAGGACGTGCTGCATATGACCGCCCTTCCAGTACATGAAGACCTGAAGCTGGGTTGCTGATAAGTTCTGGTGTAGGGTTTAGGCTTTGGGGAAGTACCCTCACATGCACACACGATAAACACTTTGGTTTCCTTCCATGCACAGACGTGTCCAGGGCATTTTGTACTTTCTGTTCCACATCATTCTCGATTTTGGTACCTTAAGCCAACTGACTTCAGATCCTAAGCCCTAAAAGCTAAACCCCAGACCTATACTCGCGTAAGGTCCTACAGAATACCAATATTCTGGTTTCTGGTCCCTCACATGTATCGTACAGACTACCTTGAATAGACCTCAAAATGATATTGGTAAGTATCTAGGCCCCTACACTACGACCCTTCAAAAACACACCCAAAAAAGTGTCCATTGCATTTTCCATTTGATTTATCGTTGCAGGGGTCACATTCCTAAGCCCCAACCAGGTGTCTCCATCAACCCCCCATATTATTTAAGGACGTCCCTACAGTACCTAGCCCCAAATCCTAAACCCTAGACCCTGAACTCCTAAACTTTAAGCTCTAAACCCCAAACCCTTAACCTCTAAACCCCTAAACCCTAAAACCCCAAACCCCTAAACCCCTAAACCCCAAACCCCCAAACCCCTGAACCCCTAAAACCCTTAGCCCCTAAACCCCTTATCCCTAAACTCAACACAGGATGGCGCAGGGCCTTCTGGTCGTTTTTAAGGAAGGTGCCGGTCGAGCCGCAATTTTCGTCTCGCATCAGTGGGCCGGCAACTTGGTAGTTTGTGTTTAGGGATTAGGATTTCGGGTTTAGGATTTAGGGTTTAGGATTTAGGGTTTAGGGTTTAGGGATTCGGGTTTAGGTTTAGGATTTAGGGATTCGGGTTTAGGTTTAGGATTTGGGACTTAGGGTTTATGGTTTAGGATTTAGGACTTAGGGCTTTGGGTTTAGGACTTAGCGTCTAGGATTTGGGGTTTCATGGTAGTTGTGCTTGGGGGACTTCCCTATATAGGGGCTATAAGATAGGGGTTATATAGGGATAATGGAAAAGAACATGGAAACTACTGTTTAGGGTTTAGGGTTTATGATTGTTTAGGGATTCTTGCAAAAGGGTTTAGGGTTCGGATGGTTTAGGGATTGTGGTTTAGGATTGAGGTTTTAGGGATTGAGGTTTACGATTGTTTAGGCTTTCGGATTTAGGATTGAGGCTGAGTTTGGGATTGAACCCTAAACCCTAAACGGGCTTCTTCCCTACTTGCAGGCAAAGGACATCCCGATCCCGACTTCGAACAGTTTCTGGTCTTGCAGTCCTTCCTTGCCAAGCTCATGAATCTAGATCAATGTTAGGGATCCTTTATACTTTTTTGGGGGTATGGGGTTCCTTCTATTTACGTAAAAAGGACCCTATACCCCTAAACCCCTAAACCCTAAACCCCTAAACCGGGCTAAGGAATGGTGAGATCACCGCTGTCTCAGGGAACGTCCTCGCTGAGCTCTACCTGGAGAAGCCGAAGATCCCTGCGAAGGAGTTGCGGTCCTACAAGCTATCGACTCTGGGTTGCTGTTTCGGTTTAGGGTTTAGGGTTTAGGGTTCAGGAACTTAAACTCAGTTCGATACCCATTATGGTATTACCATATATGGGTATATGTAGTAAGTAATAGGGTTCCCTCACTATAGTAACTTGAAGTAAGTTCCTTAAGAGCAACCCAGGATTTGGTATGACTACTTCAGCGTTCCACAGGCGGCCGAAGCCGTTGCGGAGAGAAAGGCAGCTATTCACAGCATCCCGCACTATGTGGAGAGTTGCCGCTATTTTGCCATGCTCTGCCCCCTAGTCAAGCACGCGCATGAAGGCACCGTCATGGGAAAACGGTCCTACATCTCTCGCGGCTGGTGCAGGCTAGAACTGGCAGCCCGTATACTCAGCAACTTACTGCTGGTTAGTAAGCTTCCCTGACCTATCATGGACCACAACCTGACAAGAGTAATAACAGCAATAGGGTCAGCAGCAATATTAGGTATTTTAGTAAGAAGGGTAATAATAGTAATAGTAAATGCGGGATTGTCAAAATTATGGTCCCTTTTTGGGTCCCCTAAATTAAGCCCGTATTAGGCCCCGTATTATAATAGGGACCCCAGAAGGGACCATAATTTTGACAATCTCCCAAATGGGGACTTTCCATTTCTGAAAAGGGGTTCCATGTTGGTAATGGTGGAAGCGCAGATTCCCAACAGCTAATCCCTGGGGATGCACCTTAACACATTCCTTAATCGGGGTTGCTATTAAGGAGCTTTTAGGGTTTAGGGGGTCTAATATAAAGGTTTACAGTAGGGTTTAGGGAGTTACCAAGGTTGGGACACCCTGTGGTTGGCTATGTATACCTATTCTGGTAACTTAGCTTAAATCCCTGAACAGCAACCCAATTTTTCCCGACTTACAAGCAGTAAGGTGAACGCGAGTCTTCCCAAACGACCATCGAAGTTCACACTTCCAACCACCAGGTTGGACTTTCTTGAAAGCTCCGTAAGTAGGGGTTTCGGGGAAAAGGGATTTAGGGTTAAGGGCTTAGGGTTCAGGGTTAGGAGTGCAGGGCTCAGGGTCCAGGGTTTAGGGTCAAGGGTTCGGGGTTTCGGGTTTAGGTTTGGCTGGTCCTAAGCTTGGTCCTTGTGGGATCCCATGTATGATACGGCTCCTAACATCTAGGCCATCCACAAAGGGACGATATGTTTTGAAACCTTCCAGATTCATCCTGAACAGGGACCTCTATAGAATCTCCCTGTCATGCTCGTATATCTAGCCCTGGAACCCCAATCTCCATAAGTCCCGCAAATCCCAGGGCGCCACTGGACCCAAACCCTATAAAGCCTAGCCTGAAAAAACCTAAACCCTTATCAGCCCTAACGCACAGGTATGTGCGCCAGTTGGCGATTGGATATTGAATTCCGTGGGCGAAGGTAGCTTCTCAGTATCTCAAGACTTACACCATTCCGCCGCGGTGGTGACGAGCATGATCACCCGGAAGCTGAGACATTACCTGAAAGTAGGTGGAGGATTCTGATAAAAATAGATAGGGGTATATAGGGATATATAGGGGCGTATAGGGTTATGTAAGGATATATAGGGGTGTATAGGATTTAGTGATTAGGGTTTAGAGCTTAGGGTTTTACCTTACAGTTGGAAAAAAAGCGTAGGATGCCTCTAATCCCGGAAGCCCTTCAATGAGAAAGGGTTCAAGTACAGAGGAATCCTGCACCCTAAAGCCCAGAGACCCTAAGCCCTAAACTTTCCAGGTAACCTTAAATCCTAAGCCCATACGTATTTAGGGTTTAGGGTTAAGCCCATAGGTTTAGGGTTTAGGGTTAGAACTTTAGCCCATAACCCCTCTTTAACTTTGCAGGTGATCTCCACAGTTTTCGCGTCCTTCTAAACTTGCGCAGCGTCATTTATCGGAGTCTGCCCGCTGTCCCTGCGGCCTGTATTGTTCCAGGACTTGCTCTACTTGGGCCCAGGGATATGGGTTTAGGGTTTAGGGTTTAGGCTTTAGGGTTTAGTACCTTCGGGGGGTCCCTGTGATAAGGAGTCTACTATCTTCGGGTATAGTAGGGGGACCCTGGTTTATGGGAAACTACCATATGGGGATTGCAGAGGAATAAATGGGGCCAGTGTAAATTTTTAGGTTTTAGTATGTAGGCGATTCCCTGCATCTTCACTCTCCGCTCCAACCACCAGGCCCTAAACCCCAAGACCTAAACTCTACCTAAACCCAAAAATATGTAAAAGAATAGCCCTAAACCCCTAATAATAGCCATAAAGGCCATTATTTTACATACTTTTGGGGTCCAGGTAATCCCTAAACCAAAACAATCTCGTGAGGATTTCAGTCGCGTGAGACAGACCCTGGCAGACATTTCCTCGAGTTCTTTTTGCATGAGAACCTGGATTGCTGTTAAGGACCTTCAAATAAATTAGGGTTTGGGGTTTAGGGTTTAGGGTTATAGGGTTTCAAGTTTAGGGTGTAGGGTTTAGGGATCATACTGGGGCCCCTTCAGAAGCGGCTACAGGGCTTATGTACGGCTTTGTAGGATTTAGGGTTCAGGTACTTTTGTACTGTAACACACACTTGTGAGTAGTCTAAGCGCAACACGAATTTTCAGCTACCACAAGGTCCAGACATGCTAAATGTTTAGCTGGCTTGCAGAACTAGACCTTAAGCCCTAAACCCTAAGCCCTGAACCCTAAACCCCTAAACCCTAAACCAAGAAAACTTAAACCCCTAAACCAAACACCTTAAACCCGAAAACCAAAGTCCTAAACACAAAAACCTAAACCTTAAACCCTAAACCTAAAAAATCCTAAACCCTAAGTCCTAAACCCTAAAAACCTATTTGCTTAAGTTCCTCAACTGCCAAAGGGTCCATGTAGCTATATGGGGTATACTTGGGCCTTAAAGTAGGTATATGGGAACCCCTTTGGGCCCCAAGTATATACCATATACCTACATGGACCCTTTGGGACTGCAACT